ATATTGGTATGCTGAGAACATATTTTGAAGAAGACTGGTAAATCACAATTGATAATTAAAATATAATAAAGCCAATTTCTTTTGATTGGGAGCAGCAGGTGAAAAGTAATTGTTTATTGTTTGAAGATTATTCATTATAAGCTTCAAAGCTGTACTGCATTAGAAGGAAACTTAGTTTGAATTAGTCTATTAAATGTTTCTTTACTTGATGGTTTTCTTCCAAAGGGATCCCCCAGGACATCTACTCCATTTGGTACAGCGCATGGCAGAGAGAAAAGAGAGTCTAATGATGTGGAAAACTATTACAGACCTTCAATGCTTGAGGACCCATGGGCTGGCCTAGAGCCAGTTTCTGTTACAGACATAAAGCAACAGTACAGCAGTGAGCAAACAACATATACTGGTAAAAAAGGGAGGTATTTCAGTTAACACTTTTAAAGGCCAAATAACTCCATCCTGCCAGGAAAACCCTGGGACAAAATCTTTTTATTTACACAAGATGAACAATAGTAAAGGTATTGGTTAATGCTTTTATTTTATCACATTGACCCTTTTATCCAATCCTTTTTGTTTTTTTTTTTAATTCCATTGGAAATTTTTATGTACGGGGAGGGGAAAGAAGTGGTAGGATAAGTTACCTTTCTGGCTCCGTGGAAGTGCCTACCAGCTTTGAAGAACAAAGTGTTCTTTAATCACCAGCGACTGATCTGTGACTGTTACAACAGGTTTCCGTATATTCATCTCTTCCATGCCAGATTGTTAGCTTTTTATTGTAAACTCCTTTAAATGATGGTATTTTTTTATGTTTCAACATTTTTAGAATGAAGTGACTTGGAAATAAAATGGAAATTTTGTAAATCCTTGTTTTGTAATGTATAAAGATGATTTTAGGACTTCTGTTAAGGGGTACCGATTAACAGAAGTAGCACCACTTACATTAGGTGACTTTGTAAATGTGCTTGCATGCTGTAGTTAACATCTGATCTTGTGCATAGTATTTTTTGTTAACTGTAGTGCAGTGTGAAACTGAAACATGACTTCAGCCATCTCAGGAAATGGATGTATTGTCTTACAAATGTTTGATTTGTTGAACCAGACCTTGAATGCTAAACATTATTCTGTAATATTTACTTCTGTATTTCGGAGAAAACAAAAAAAAAAGCATTTGAAAGAAGATTACGTGTTTCTGGATTATAACCAAGTCTGTGGCAATTTTAGACTAATCAACACGAAATATGAGAATTAATTAAATGCAAATGTACTTTCTGGATTTACCTTTAGATTAGCGTAGAATGAATGGAGCTTTGTTGTACAGTTGACATTAGCACGTTAGCAGCATCTTATTTTTGATCTCTGCTGGGTTTTTTAATTTTTTACCTACAGCTGGCATCGTTGTCTAGAGAATTCTTGTTTTCAGTGTGTGCATGCTATGCTATATTTTTATCTCCAAGAGGAAAACAACAAGATTTTTTTTTTTTTTTGGTCTTGTCTATGTATGGAAGATCCATTCTTAAATTCACTAGTGAATATTGTAATTTAGAGCAAGTAAGAAATAGTTCCAGCTGTAGGCATGTTCTTTACGTGCCATGTTAAGAGTGCACTGGATATCTAAAGTGTTGTTTGACCCTACTGTTATTTGTTCATCTTTGCTTTTAGGTGATACATGGAAGATGAAAACCTAGTTAAGTAAGAAACACCACTTGAGTTTCCAAAACATATTTTGTAAGCTTATATATTTCACAGGAAACTAGAAAATATTTTTGTAATCCTGAAGCATGGTTATGTGGAGTAGCTCAGGAATTTCATTATATTGTTCTGAGTTTTGCTGAGGTACAGTAGTCCTGTAGTACAAATTGGTCTGCTTCATTATAAAGTGTCTCAGCTTGATACCACCTTCAGGAACAACTTAAAACTGGAATTGGGAGTTTGAGTGGGTAGGTAACTTGCTGATATATGCTGAGTCTTAAACTTTTGAGACTGTAACCTAAAGTTTTTCACTTGTTTTTCTTTGATTAGCTTTTTTGTTTGTTTCAGTACTGTATTCAAAAGGCTGCTCAGAGAACTGAGAACATAATGCCTGCTTGATATCACGAGTTCTTAAATCATCGTCCCAGAATCAAAACTGTCTTTTCTGTGGTAGTTGTCAGTATTGGCGTCTGTAACACGTGCCAGCAGAACTGAAATTACTTGATTACTTGTAGATACTCTTCAGAATTTAAAAATCAATTATGTCATTTTGAAAGGTGGAGTATAAAGTTTTCTTTCTTTTTTACCTTCACAGGTTCTGTAAAGCTCACAAAGTTAGAGTGATTAACCGAGTCATCTTTTTTGTTACTTTTCTCCTCTGTAATTCAATGCACTTTTTGTAATGTATTTGATGATCTTGTGAAGTAGATCTGATAGTACCTGATGTTTTTAAGAGACTAAAGCTATGACATGTTCCCAGTGAGACATGAGAAGAAACTGGGTTTGGAAAGGAGAAAGGAAAAGGATTCATGACAGAAGAGAGACCGTTAGAGATGGAACTCTTTTTACAGTAACCAATATCAGCTGCCCTTGCACGCTGCAAAGATGCATTTTTCTACTTTGGCTTTCCAGTTGACCAAGGGATCAAAGCCAGCCACCTGTTTGCTGCTGGAACAGGGTGTCAGACATCAGTGAAGGTAGATGTTCCAGAAAGTGAATTCAGGAAATAATCTTGAGGCACTGTTTAATCAGCGCAGGCTTTCCACAATGCCATCTTTTAAGCTGTTGCACCTATGCACTTCAGGATATGACCCAACAATTAAAAGTACATCACACTGCTAAAGACTCCTATAATTTGGTCAACAACCTGCAAGGAATTTAGATGCAATAAGAATACTAAACTCATCACACCATACCAAAATCTTTGCACTGATTCAACTTTCTGGTTCTTAGGAGACATTCTGAAATTACAGTGAAATTTCAAGTTGTTGTTGGATAGCTGTAAAATGTGTGAACACGTGCTTAGAACCATAAATATAAAAATTAAATATTAAAGCCAGTTTAAACTTTGCCTTTATTTTTTTTCCTATGATATCCAAGAAGCTTGAGCACTTAACTTCCTCGCTGATTTTTGTTTCTTTTCCCATATGGCAAACATTCTTTCTCCCACATGTTTTTAATAAAGATAGGATATACCACTTCCTCATTTGTTTATGAAGCCTCTTCGTAGCAACAGTGTGGTTGTGGAAGTAGTGTTTGATGATGAGGAAAAAAAAAAATCATCTGAAATGCATCCTTACTTCATGAGCCCATGAAGCAGTATAGTTTCTGTGTCTCACTGACGAAGGTATTCTTCTGTAATGAGCACTTAAGAATTTGAGTGTTAAGTTTTCCTCAGCAGACTTTCAGGTAAGTCCTTGAACTCTCTGGAAGTTTGGGTTAGCACCCATTCTGTCCAGTCAGTTGTGTTTGCGTTCTTTGTCCATTGAGACTTATTTTCCATTCAGTCATTATAAAAGGAACTGCATAACTCACTACTCCTTTCTAGCAAAAAAAAAAAAAAATATCTGTAGTTCTTTTTGCTAGCTACTGTGTGCAATGATCAGCTGCATATGACAGATTACTGAATTAATCTGAGTACGGTTCTATGTGACATGGTAACACAGCAGGTGTGGAGTGATCTCAAATTATGTACAACTGTACTTGAAGGTGGTTCAGGTTTGGGTTTTCACTGCAGCTTTATGATACAGAATAGTAACTTTGGCACTGCAGATGCACTGCTTTACATTGAAACTGTAAAACATGCTGTTTAAAATGTTACATTTCAATTAAAATGGGATTTTAAAGTTTGTATCAAACTTCTTTTTTTAAAACTAGCATTAAGATACTGAGGTTTACCCTTTTTTTTTAGTGTAAAAACTGGAAACATTGAGGAAGAAGTGCTTCTGATCAGCAGAATGGTCACTGTTTCTGCAGTCAGGCTGTTTTCCTGCTGAGGGTATCTTTATATGCTCTTTAGTTTGTGTATTCATTAGACATCTGGCAGAATAAGCATACATTTTATGTAGGGTCTACAAGTATCTATTCTCCAGCTCCCCCCCTAAAGAAAAGCTTTTATAGACTGTTTGGCTTTTGAGCTATGTTTATGAGAAGTCTCATTGGCATCATAGGCTTCACTCACGCACCCAAGATTCATAAACATCTAACCAACATTGACGTTTGAAAATTATCAGCCATTGGTCTTTCGTTCTTCTTTATGAACTTTGCAGTGAGCTGATGTGGCTGGCAATTGCTCTGAGTTCCCTTCATACATGTGCTTTTTATATATGAGCCAAGCTTCTCATGCAGGGAATTCAATTTTGTTTTAAACTGCATTTTCCTAAATTCTTAAGAGTAGACGTTTTGTTCTCCTTTCCCCAAATTTTCCTTCTTTCCAACTCGCTTATGTTAGGAAGTTAAATGAAGGATTGCATCCACTGGCTGCTGAAGAATGATGTAATGATTTCCATCTCCCAGTCCCTCAGAAGCTTGTGTGCCATCTGAAGTAGGTAATATAATGTCAGATGGCTCAGCTGCTTGTCATACTAAATGGAAGGAAATTAAAGGTATGTTAAGAGTAATATAGTTTGTAGAATCCTAGAATAGCCTGGGTTGCAAAGGAGCACAGTGCTCATCCTGTTCCAACCCCCTGCTGTGTGCAGGTCGCCAACCAGCAGCCCAGGCTGCCCAGAGCCACATCCAGCCTGGCCTTGAATGCCTGCAGGGATGGGGCATCCACAGCCTCCTTGGGCAACCTGTGCCAGTGCCTCACCACCCTCTGGTTGAAAAACTTCCTCCTAACATCCAACCCAAACCTCCTCTGTCTCACTTTAAAACCATTCCCCTTGTCCCATCACCACCCACCCTCACAAACAGCCGTTCCCCTCCTGTTTATCCGCTCCCTCCAAGCACTGAAGGCCACCATGAGGTCTCCCCGCAGCTTCTCTTCCCCAAGCTGAATGAGCCCAGTTCCCTCAACCTTTCCTCACACAGAGCTGCTCCAGCCCTCTGCTCATCTCAGTGCCTCCTCTGGCCCCGCTCCCAGAGCTCCACGTCCTTCCTGTGCTGGGGGCCCCAGGCCTGGACGCAGCGCTGCAGATGGGGCCTCACAAGAGCCGAGCAGAGGGGGACGATCACCTCCCTCTCCTGCTGGCCGCCCCTTTTTCATGCAGCCCAGAACACAGCTGGCCTTGCGGGCTGCAGGCTCAGTGTAGTTGCAGTATTTGATCAGTTCACAATCAAATCTAGCAGCCAGGCTAGCTTTTGTTTTCAACTGAGTGTCTCTCAAAGCACAAAGAGCTGGATCAGTTTTGGTTTCTGCCATTTTCGTTAAAATATGTGCGTTACAGATTTGGAGTTTAGCATTTCTTCAACCTGGAGTTCTGAACTGTCCAGTGGGGAGTAGGTGCTTAGTGCCAGAACAAGGTCACTTTACTGTTTATCTACCTCTATTTTCTTGCTATTTCCATTTGCTCTTGTCCAGGTGGTGGTTTCAGCCAAACAGTCATACCTTCTGTTTCACCAAATCTCTCTGTGTTGCAGCATTTAAAACCATTTCAGAGGTTTGCTTACTGCTCATAGTGGGTTTTAAATTCCAACAGCACTATAAATTATAATTTGTAGTTTAACCCCTAGTACTCTTGCCTGTTCTTCTGCAGTAAAATCGCAGATGAACTCCACTGCCTTCCATCACCTGTGACTATGACACATGCCTTTTCTCAACCATTTATGCATTTATATACAGCAGGGTAACTCCTAAGGCTAAAAAGGACTGCTCCTGTACAGTTTATTATTGACATTTTCAATACTGCTAACACTACTGCTATTCAAGTAAGAGCTTTTCCATTCCCTCTTTCAGCAAGACAAAAATTAAGCCAATGCTGGTAATACTAAAAAAAATCATGCCACTCTTTAGTAAGACAGAAGAAGGGATAAAATTGAAAGAACTGCACAATTTCACAGATCATGGGACCTGGCTTGTTTGTGTTTTTCTTGTGGAGAAGCACTGACTTGTTACTAATAGGTTCAAGGCTGGCCAGGACGTGAGCTTTGGACAGAGTCACCCAATCACCATTCGACCTATTTAGTGATAAAAAGGAAAATTCTGGTTTATATAAAACACAGAATAAATTGCACTGACCTGTAGCCTATACTGTTCACTGGATGTGGAAGGATTTTGACAGATTAGTGTGTATTCCTTTCAATTAGAGTAGAAAGTATTCCTGCATTGGGAGTTCACGTTGCCAGTATTTCTGGTAATAAAAAAAACGTTACATATTCAAGCACTAGCAGGGAAGTAATTTCAAATGTTAAAATTAATTCCCAAAGTTGCTTAATTCTCAGTACTCAGTTTTTTAGGTAACAGCAAAACAGGAGTGTGGAGGACTTATTGAATTTATACTCGTTTTTTTTCTTACTGAAGAAAGAGGTTTGTTTTATTCAGACATCAGTGTGAACTGGAGTGATGGTGGCAGTTGCATACTGCAGATCAAAGATCTCAGTCTCTTTCATTTCTTACTTGGAAGAGCTTCCATTTTCCAGAAGAAGCTGCTGCACTTCACACAGCTTTTGCAGTGAAGATGCTGGGGCTGGAGGCATTTGAGACTACTGTGATCAGCACAGGGCAAGATGGGTGGCATGAGTAAAGATGTCACTGCAATTCAGTGTAAACTCTACTACCATGTTTCCAGACTGAAGATAGAAAGGAATTTTAACATAGGCAAAACAAGTGAGTCTTGCTTCCATCCCCCTGCATACATTCCTCAAGGGACCTTTCATTTTCTAAGCTTACATTGAATCCCAGTGTCACTAGAGTGAAGACTACAAGGATTTAAATAGCGACAGAAAACTGGGAGGGAAAGAATTTGGTATCAGGTCAGACTGAGATTTTTAACAATTATTTTAGAACAGAGTGCATTTATCAAAAATTTGTATTACTTTTATGGGCAGCAGTGATCATGCTGCTTAATGCTGCATTAAAATACATTTAAACCTGCTATCCATGTGTTTTGCCACAATCTAATTGCTGTGTAGTCGAGATATCTGGAAGCTGTTGCTGTAGAGTCAACAAGTGTTTGCTTCGGGTTTAAATACTTCTAGGCTGCATGAGGGAACTGCATGATTCAGACTGCTGAGCTTGCTGGTGATACATCAGTGTAAATACTTATAACAAGTGGAAGAACAACCCCTTTCTTACACGGATGCAAATCATTCCCTTTTCAAGAATCACACTGAGCTAATGCTGCAACAAGGGAAGAGGAATCAGGCTAATTGACAGCTTCTGTGGCTGATTACAGAGCATAAACCACAAAAAACAGAGCAAATACGAACTTCAAAAAACACTGATTGCCAGCTGGGGAGTAGTATCAGCAGTAATTGGATTATAAGTAGTAGTTGCACAACACTTAAAATCAAACCACTGCCTCCTGTGGCTTAATGAAAATCATTAGGTTAATGTGAAATCACACTTTTGAGTTGAATTCTCTTAGCAGATGTTAGGAATTAATATGTTATTCCTGCAGTGGAGTTGGCAGAAAAGAGGCATCTTCACTTCTCTGTTGTGTGTCTATTTTCTTAAGCATAGTTAAACTTTGCAGATTAAGATCTCAGGGATCTCCAAAACAAGAAAAAAAAAGAAAAAAGAAGACAGAGAGTAAACACTTGATATGAGGCAGGCGTACACCCTGTGTTGCTAACTGCAGGAAGGCACCATGGCTCACACCTATTGATTACTGGCCATTCCACATTCCTAATGCTTTTTTCTTTGTCTGTAAATTTGCAGTAGCCTTCTGGTTGCTATGGCAATTAAATTACACCAAACAAAATGATTTGGTTGTTATTTCCAGATGCTAAGAAAGCAGTATGTGGACCCAGTTGAGAAATTGTGGCTGTTTTTCAGATGAGTGAGCTGCCAAGTCGCATCTCTGTTGAAACTGAAGACAGCTTCGCTATGAGCAGTATTATTGCACTTAAAATAACTTCCTAAATAAAGTTCCAAGTATATAGAAAGCACGCACAAAGAACCTTTAAATCTCTGCTGTCAGGATTTCTGTTACATCTGGTTATATTTTCTGACTACCTTTAATTTCAGCATAATCACTGGCTGGTCCATGCACTGATTTCGCTGTAGCCTGTCACCCTCACTGCTATGAGGTGAGGAAGAAATAGTATTTTACCTGCTTTCTAAGCACACAGTTGAGACGTTCCCTGGTTTAATTTCACTCACCTACAAGATTGTCCCAGCAAGCAGGTGACAGAACTCTCCTCCCATTAATCAGATCTCTATCATTTATCTTACAGATTTTTATTTAACACGCTTGCAAACACCCCTTAACTTCACTCAGAGAAAATACCTTAATCAGATTGAGTTACTGTGACTTTCTCTTTTGTAAGTCTTGTATTATCTCTTACCCCCCTGCCTTTTTTTTCCCCACAAAGTGGTTATTGAATCAACTGTATCTTAAGGCTTTTGCATGTAGATTTTCCATGGAAATAAGCCTGCTTTTGCTGCCTCTTCTGTTAGATCAAGCTTGGTACGTCCTTCAGGGTTCTACTCTCAGTCTGCTGGAGCATGTGGTGGAATCAATCCTTTTTTAAGCTGCACACACACATACACACATAGCCAAATACACCCAAAACTCAGCATATGTATGTATACTGAAACAGTAAATCCTCAATGGGAGACAAAGCTGGAGGGAAGAAGGGAAGAAAACTACCTCAGGAAAGTGCAAAATGAGGCACTGTCTCTCTTCAGCAGCCCCAGAGCATGCTATTTTTTAGTCCATGAATGACAAGGAGGCAGATGTGTGTTTCAGAGAGAAGTGAGTTTTAAGAAGAATAAAAAGTCTGTGTGCACAGGGACTTTTCAGTATATATCATTTACTGTAAATTAAAAAAAAAGAACGTTCAGCTTTAGCCTAGTTACAGTTACTGTAGTACAAAACTCTATTTCAGAAGCTTTTAAATTGCTAGAAGATGAGCTGCAAAGCAACTTTCCTCTGTCTTATAAACTTTCCAGTGTGCAGACAGAAAAAGCTGGTTTCTGGTTTCATTCTAACTGTACTGATGCATCACAGAAAAACAGCAGAAACACATGTAATGAAAGCGTATACCTTTACTAGCAGTTAGGCTGTTGCTATGTAAGAATCCAAAAACAAATAGTTCAATTGCTGGGGTTTTACTTACAGGCCTGGGGAAGATCTTCAGCATAGCAGATTTCCCTCTCCAGCACCTCTTGGCAAGGAGGTCCTCTGGTGTAAGACTGGCTCCTTAGAAGCACATTCTTTGTTCCCCCTGAGGTTCAGCATCAGCCTCACTCAGTTGTTTCAGCAGAAAGCAGAAGTCCCCGCTGCGTTGCACCTTCCTGTAAAGTGACATCAAGGAGTAGAAAGCTCAAGAAAGACATTAAGACCTGCACTCATTTTTTCTGTTTCTTCACAGACTTCACAACATGCTTTGCCCTTTCTCCACATTCTCTTTCCACCACTCGTTTCTATGTTCTTTCCTCAGCTGACGCTCCATTTGAAGCACATGCTTCTCTCTTTTGCTCCGTTCTTAGGACACTTAAACTCTTCTATGACTTAAGCAATTCCTAAGCTACTCTTCTCACAGCTATCTGTACCACACAGTCCTGTTTGTGCCGGACTGATTACCACTGTTCCATAGTTCTGCCAACAAAGCAGCTCCTCCAACTGCTTCCAAATCACAGCTTGAATAGTTTAAAGTATTTTTTAGACTGAACTTACTGATGTCTGAAACAGGAAAGCTAACTCCAGTGAGCTTTTCCAAAAGCAAATTTCACAATAGAAGCTGTCAGTCACCTCACTAGTAATAAATTGCAACTTCAGTTGGAAAACGCTCAGCAAAGGCACTTCCATCTGCAATCTGCCTGCATCCTCTTCCTTTTTACTTGCTGCACATTCCTTTCAGGCTCTTGTTTCACTACCTTTGTCCTGAGGTCAGGCGGACCCTCTTTGGTTGTTGTTTGTTTTTCTCTCCTCCCTCTCCCTATTTTTTATTTTTAACTAATTCAAAATTCTAAGCATCTTTCAAAGAGGTAAAGACAAAAAGCTTTTTAGGTACCAAGCAAAATTCATGCCTACTGAGTAACAAAGATAGGTGAAATTAATAGCTTCAGTGACGCTAACTTGTTAAGAGATACAGATTACACATCCTTTCATTAAAACCTGGATTACAGCAAATAAAACTGAATACTGTTCTTATTTGCCTAGTCAGCTATACATAGATCTCATCAAATCCCAAATCACCCCCTCCATCCACCAGTCGGTGCCAGAATGAAGTATTTATCCTGACATCCTGCGTAATGGAAGATGTAAACATCACCCAACGGCTTCTGCACCAAACCAACATCTTCACTTCAACCAGGCCATAAAACACATCATTAGAAAGGTCTCTGATATTTGAAGAATTCAAAAGGCACCCATGGTTGGATAAGGAGAGGATCAGGCTGGGAGTGTCCTGCAACTCCTGCCATTCTGTCCTGCTTTTAAACCCACGACAATGAAAAACCTCCCTGCAGCCACAGAGATGGAGGAGAGCCTGCATGCCAGGCCACCTTCTGCTGTCCCTTCTTGCTCCCAAGAATCCACAAATTGGATTAGAGAAACTGACTTAAGTAACTCTATGTCATGGCTGTGTAATCCTTCTGTGAACCTAAAGATACAGCTCTCACTTTTAGAGTACAGTACCAAACTCAATATGCCTTTTTATCTGGTTTAGAGGTCAGTACTCAGTTATTTTGCCACTGTATCTTTCTGGACAGGCCACTGTGAATGATGAGTGCAGGCAGAGAAGTGGGGCACAGTTCTAGAAGCAGCTTTGAACCCTTCTAGTCCTCCATATAGAAATTTGTCTTGGCAATGTTACTTTTAGTGTGAAGTTAACCAACACAGAAGCATTGGAATCAAATTGTAACAAAGACACCTCTTGCTAAGCATGAGCACTGTCTAATGACTGAAGAGGATCCAGTGTTTTATTCCCCCCTCCTTCCATTCCCTAAACTTGTTAACCAAGAAAAACTTCCAGAGCAGGTTTCAAATGCACACATCCCAGGAGGAGATGTACCAGCAGGGAGGGAGCTGTGCTTTCCAACTCATCCCAACTGGAAATGATGCTCTGAGCACCTGTGCTATGACCAGTCATTAAAATGTTCCAGATTCTGATTTAAGTCTGCAATGCTACTTTCATTTTCCTGTTTTCAGGTTTGCTGCAAAGAATGCAAGTAGATGCAAAAACACTGTTTTTAACAATAGGAAAGAAATCTTCTTAGGCTGTTGGACTGAAAGGCCTGGAATGGTTGAGAATCTCCAGTGATTTCACAGATGATCCATGTATTTGTATAGATCACTGGATTTTGTCTTCTATCTAATGTAAAATCTGCAATGACAGCAGGAACAATTTCACACCAATACAGCAGTCTGCATTTTAGTGCACGGTGCTGTAGAAATGGAGGTCACAGTCTCCAAAGAGCCTGAGAGGGATACTTGTGTTGTTGAATTTCACTGCAAATGGAAAAGATTTATGCCATGATCAGAAGTGTAGCTCTTTCCAGAGGGAGATTCTCAAGCAATTATCACTGGTAAAGCAGTTTTTAGCTCTACTAGCCATTAATTTAGTTAGTCTTTTCTAATTGCTTTTATGACCAGTGCCTCAGGTGCAGCTGATAGCTGCACAATCCAGCCAAGCTCCTGCTTCCTCATCTCCTGGAGACGAACGTTCTTCTGCTATTCTGATTTAGGACTCAGACTGCAAAACAGTGACAGCTCCTAAACACAGCGTAGTGTCGTGCTGTGTTTTACAGAAAACAGTCCATAGGTTGAGGTTTCAAGTCTTCAAGTTTGTTGGTGTTTTGCTTTGTTGGTTGGTGGGGTGTTTGTTTCCACAGGAAACTTAGTGCCATGATCTCTTTCTAGAGCATAGAACTATCAGTGTGATAGTTATTTTTTTTCAATGTATCTTACTTTCTAAAAGCTACCAAAAAATAAAATTAAAAAAAAAAAAATCAAGTTTAAAAACAGTAATGCATCATTAGTAGTGCTTGAGCTCCTGAAACACTGAATTCAACATTCTAACAACATATATTGTATGATGTGGGCCTTTCACAAAACACTGGGTACATAACACAACCTTGTTTTTCTGACTGATTTGAGAACAGTTAATGTCAACCTGCAACTTTTTCTTTCCCACTTATAAATGGTTTTACAACTGCTGTGCAGAGCAGCAGCAACTGTCAGCTTTTCCAGCGTGGTTTGAACCGTGCTCTTCACAAAAATCCAGTTTCCTGGGTCTAACTGCTTGTAAATACGATGCTGCTGGTGTCCAGAGGAATATCTGCTGTTGATGGTTTCTCTCCTGCCCTCTGGAATCCTCCAGCAGTGTCATGCAAGCAGTGGCTCCACTGGAACTCGAGCATAATTCTCCCATTAAATGATTTCTGAGCAGCAAAGCGCACGCTTCTACATCCTCCGTGCTGGGTTTGCCTCGTTACACTGGTACAGGTTGCTCATTTATCCCCTTTGCAAAGAGCAGCAGCAGATCTGGATTTTGTTCTCACTCGAAATACAGCTGGAAACAGCCTCCCTCGGGTTGGGTCAGTGTTGGTGACGACCTCAACTCCGTGCTGTTCTGCACACTCTGCTGACCTTCACCATCCCCTGCGGCCTCTTCTGTTGTCGCAAGGATGTCTGAAAATGTTTTAGCTTGTCAATGTAACCAGTCCCTCTCATACTGCATTTTTCTTTTCAATTCTGTAGAAATAACAGATGGTCACACCAAAACCACCAACACTTGGGTGCTGGTTGCTCCTCTTCCAAGACAAACCCAAAAGAAACATGCATTCCACGCAGTCATGCCAGTTTCACCAAAATCTTTTGGTGAAAATTAAGCCTTCTTTGAAATGCTGACATTTTCTCAAACATTTCTTTTTCATTCATATTGTTTCAGAAAGAACAGCAAATGTTTGTAAATAAATGTTGCTTTAAGAAAAAAAATAACCGAAAAGAATACTTGATTTACTTACCGGCCTACTGACTGCACACTGTGGCACCGTATGACTCTTTAGAATTCTTTTCCTATAAATTCCATATTATACAAGAATCCATATTTAAATGAATTGTGTGAAAGTTGAGAGGCTGCAAGGGGGTGATGTTTGTGATCTACAACAAAAGGAGGAAAAAAATGAAGAGTCTGCCATGAGATCAGCTGAAAGAGAAAGCCACCTCTGGTTTGTCTTACAGCATCAGCTGAAACAGAGTTGTGTTTATGACAGAGCAGGTCTGCAAAATTCAGTGGGATTTCTTTTGCCGTTGTGCCCAAAAGGCAAGGTTGTAATTGCAAGTATGGTGTGCAAATAAAAATTCCTACTGCTCTGTGCACTGCTTCTTTCACTGTGCTGTGTAACTGTATGTGCTCGTGGGGAAGTCAGAGCAGGATCTGCAGGCTGTAACAAGAAGCAGTGTGTGAAGAAAAGCATTCACAGCTCCTAACAAAGCCTGCCAGGCTTACAGTGATGCCTACCTGGTGTGGAGCCACCAAACCATCTGCGGATAAGTTTTTAATTAGTATTTGCCACCCCCTTCTCCTATCCATCATTAACAGCTTTCTGTTCACTTCCCATGTCTGCTGTACTCCTTAGCCTGATTTTTCCCCCAATGATGAACAATTGTCACCAGTAAATAAACACGTTTTTACAACTGCTGTTCTTCAGTAGCACGACGGATGGCAGGGAGGTGTGCACAGTGCCACAGCACACTGCAGCTCGCTGTAACAGCTTGCTTTATGGAGACTTCACAAGGTACGAACAGGCTGAGCAGCGGTGCAGGGCAGCACAGGCGGCAGCCCCACCTCCCTGCAGCGCTGGCCCTGCAAGCAGCCCACCTCCATCGGCACAGGGGCAACCAAGGAACAGCAAACACTGGGGGAGACGAGAAAATTATCTTTTTCTCCAGCAGGAAAAATAGAAGATGATATATGGTGACGTCAGTAATACTGGATTTTCAGTTGTTACACAACAATATTTGTTTTTTACATTATTATCTATTATTATTGCATGGGAATAGTAATGTTACCGGACAAGAACCTCCTCCAAAAATTCAGAGCTTCCTCTGGCTCCCCAAGGAAGAGGACCTCCGTGTTATCTCACCTAAGAAAGGCGTTGGAGTTTCACAAACTGGAACATCCCTCTGCTCATCCTTGTGCAAAGTGTTGTAACCCAGGTAGAACCATGGGACAACCCAAATCCACTCTTTATTGTCTGTGGATGCTCTGTGTGACCTCAGCCAAGTCCCGTAGCCCAGATTCCCAAACAAGGGACTCCTGTAGCTGCCACCAGCCCAAGGACACGTGGGAAGGGCCATGCTGTGCTGCTGAGAGGCAGCCCTCCACCTCTGACAGGAGCCCCTATGGGTAGGGGAACCGCCGTGCTCAGTTTGTACCAGTTTCTCATTTAGTGATTTTCTCACCCAGAAATACCAGATTTGCCTCCGCTCCCTAGGAGGAGCATTTCTACAGTAAGTCAGGGCTCAGACTGGCTGGCAAGCAGGGGAGAAAAAAGGTATACGAGAGAGATTCTTGTTGGATGTGCTTCGTCTTGTAGAGACTAAAGTGGGTCACTGTAAAAAAAAATAAGAATAGAAAAGATGGTCTTGGTATTTCCAGGGAACTTTTGGCCTTAAACGTGTGGATGAATGCTCTTCCCTTGCATTTCACTGCAAGATGCTCTGAGGTTCCAGCATTAAGCACGTTCCCTGCTTTGCTCTGGCAGACGTTGCCCTGCACAGCACCTCCTCCTCCTGGCTCCACTCCTTCCTCCCAGAAGGAATACAGCTCCAAGGCAAGAGTTTGCCATGCAGCTCTAAGATCCCTTCATACACTTTCTTCTCCATAATCTGCTGCATGAAACAATTTGAAACAGGAACAAGGGGGAAAAAATGCGCCTGTCATTATTTCTAGAGCACCAACACAGCTACTGGATTACCTGGGAGAACAGAAGAGAAAGACTTTGGAGAAGAGATGCAATGCAGCAGGAAACTTTGCCACGGGGCTGGACCATTCTGATGGCTTGACTTATAGTGATTTATTGACAGGAAGGGTTTTTTTTTTTGGCTTAGGCCTTATTATTCTTAATTAAGAGGAGAAGCCCAGAGGACAAGCTATTCCTATGTCCAGAAACAAAACTTATCAGTGTAAGGGGCGTCTCCCTGCCACCACTCTATGGAGAGGAGAAAGCCAGCAACCATTACAAACTTCAGCACAAGCCATTAAATTCAGCTGTGAGGGATAGGATGAGGGAGAGCTTCCATGCATTGCATTGTGCCCACCCTGGCAGGGCTGCAAGTGCAGGGAGCTGGGAAGCCCAGCATGCATGGCGGGGCACAGCAAGGGAATTCTCATGGGGAAGCTGACACCCCAAACCTCCACAAAGGACAATAAAGCTGGAGAAAAACAAAGAAAAGCAACAGCAGCCCTTCTACTTCTCTTCCACACCGTATTTCCTGGTGTTGAAGAAGTTTCTGCACATCCTCTTTGAAAGAGGCCGTGTGAGAGACCCATTCATATCACGAGGATTCCCCACAGCAGCAGCACCTCCCAGGTGCCCCCGGAGGAACAGCTTCTGCAGAATTGAAACTGAGCTGTGAAAGGTGATTGGAGGATGGCCTATTAGCAAGTGCTGTTATACCTGAAGAAAGTGAAACATTGCAGTAGAACTGATGGCAAGCTCCCTCCACAGGCAATAAAGAGGCTGAACTAAGCAGACACAACATGCAGGGGGCTCAAAGGAGAGCCCCTCAGCAACGTGGAGGTAATTGCAGTCAGCTGGGAAAAGGAAGCAGCTCTTGTTTGTCAAACCAAATTCTTTCTCTGCTTGTTTGCTGCGGCTGCCAGGAGCTCCGACGTCCCCATGCAACGGGGAGCTGGTGGATGTCATGGATGTAATCCCTTCTGCAGGATGCCTTACAAATAGCAGCAGCCGAATCTTGTTTCATCACATTTAATAGCACGGGCTGCAAGGTGGAATACTTTTTCTCCTGTTCTTTGCCACTGACTTCGCACACGCGGTCCTTGACGCAGACTGTGGCACTGCAGCCATTTCTGCCCCTCCTCTCTCACTTGCTGCAGCTTTTAGAACGTTGACTCACACAGATCCAGCTGGGATGATTCCCGTTGCCCTTTGCACAGCACCCATCTGATCTGCTGTGTGCAGGTCACCACTTGCATAACGTGGAACGAGCTGCCTGCCTGAAGAACAGCCCAGGCTTTTGTTAGAGCTGCTGCCAATATATTTACTATCAGAAAGGAAGATCCTTTTGGCCGCTGCTAGACATTCTGTCAGCCCAACGTCAGCATGACCAGCACTGACCTGTGACTTCCCTTTCACCCTCTGCACGGGGTGTTCATCAACAAGCTGCTGGTGTAAAGGCAGCAGCCTCCTGCTCAGCCTGCGGCTAACGATGCGGAAGGTACAGCAAGTGACTCGGCTTTGGATGAAAACACAGCATGTGTGGGAAAAGGCATCTTTTTCACTATATTAACTGACACAGCACAAAAACAAAGCAGCGAGGCCTAAGGCACTCATAGCACAACCGCTGGGGCCACGCTCTATTTGCCTTGCTGCCCCCGCAGCAACGCTGCATCACCAGATCTGAAAATACCTGACCCTTTGTTTCTGAATCCCACTCTTCAGCATGCTCACCAGCCTCTTTATGGAGCTGGAGAGGGGGAGAACAGCAACCGTGTTTCTGCTTGGCCAGCAAAGAATGCCCTCAAAACACTCAGGTAAGAGATTGTTGCAGCTGCAGCAGCCTCCCACTCACCCTTTGAATTGCACCCCAGCATGCAGCCGTGCCTGCAGCACCATTGCCAAACCACGCGCTGCCCAGGAGCCCGGCTCCAGCACTGAGCACCTGCAGTTCTCCTCCAAAAGGCAGCGGAGAAGGAAATGTTTGTTTGAAGAGCTAACAACACTGTCACGTACTGAAAAATCACGTTCCCATGGATCTTGAGAAAGTAATTAATCCAAAGCTCTCTTAAAATTCCCTTCGATAACCAAAGAGGAAAAACAATGAGAGACTTCAAGTTTTCATGTATTTTATTTACAAGCCACACGATACATTTATATACAAATGGCTTAAAATAACGAAGGGTAAGCAAGCTGAAGCATAACAGTTTGATTATTTTAAATTACGTTGTCTTGAAATAACTCCTGCAATAAAGTATTCTTCACCCTGATAAGCAAAAGTTAGTTCGACTTTAACCCAAGGTCATTTCATTTTTTAAATACAGAATTCATATCACTTTTCTGTGATCCTTTATCTTCTTAACACTCATGTATGAAGAACATCCCACAACCATCAAGAAGGGAAACAGCCAAATTTCCTCCTGTACAAACGCTGTAACAACAGACTGGAGAAACGTAAAATGCTTGTGTGTTTCATTAACTAAGAGAATGCAAGGAATACATGAGATTTCCTCTCTTGGAAACAGAATTCATGGTCTGAGATCCAATCTGCGCGCGGACGAGAGCTGTGTTCCCACTGCCAGAGACCAAACAGATCCCAGTGCAACTGCGCCACACCAGAACCTGCCTGCAGCAGGGACCAGCAGAAGGGCAGAGCTCCAAACCCCGCAGAGCTCAACACTGCAGCACTCGGCACCTCTGCTGTCACACTGCCGCAGCAAGAAGACAATTCAACACAGACTCGTTTTGTGGAAACATAAGAAAATACAGAAATTTGCCATTTAATTTCCGCCCACCCCCCCCCAGGGAATTATATTAACATTTAAAGACATGTATTTTTACACCTCTTCCCAAACACCGCTCCGTTTCAGGTCACAGCTAGCAATCCACGACACAAGTCAGTTCCTTTTCCTTTGGCTGATTGTAAGTGTTCTAATACTCTAAGTGCCTTAAGTCACATCCAGCAGTCCGGCCGTGCTCACGTTTCTCCTCTTGGTATGGCTAATGACTGCTCAGTATAAATAACAACGCTTGCTATTCCATGGTCCATGGTTACAGTACTTTGCTATGTTTTAGAAACACAAACACACAACACTTACTTTTTGATGTGGTGTCCAGGTCTCTGTAGCACACTTTGGAATTGCAGCACAGAAAAAGTAAACCCAAAGGAAGGTGGGAAGTAACCAAAGCCATGGCTCCGCAGAAAATCACGCGGCTTTCAGAATGCCTGCGACTGCAGCAGAAACGCAACGGCCACGTGAAGCCAAATGTTGCACTAGCACTGACTCGCTCTGCTAAGTGAAGCTTGTTCAGAAGGGTCAAATTCTCAACTGATGTGAGCACCTCTTAATACGGTACAGAAAAGAAACGTTGATAAATCACACGTGGGGCCAGCACAACCCAAGGTGGGCAGCCC